AATAATTTTCAGTTAATTTTGTATTAATTCAGCTTTATTTTCAAATAAATTTTATATTACAATAATGGAATAATAAAATTTTTTTTTATTTTTACAATTTTTTTCGAGGGATACTTATTTTCGGGTAATATTAAAAAATGGAGGTGCTTATTTTCGGGTGGTGTTTATTTTCAGGACTATACAGTAATTAAAAAAATAATTAAAAAAATAAAATTAAAAAAAAAAATAAAAAACGAAAATAAAAGATTGGAAAAAGAAGAGGAAGAGAGGGAAAAAGGGAAGAGAAAAATAAAAATAAAATCAAAAAGATAAAATTAAAATAAAAAATAATTAATAAAACAAATCTTGAGTCAACTTGAGTCAACTTGAGTTTAAATCAAGTCGAGTTAAATATTTAACTTGATTTAAATTTGGTATGACTCACAAATTATCAAGTCATAAAAACATAAACTTTACTTAATTTAAACTTGACTTGGCTTATCTGACTCATGAGTTAACTAGACTCGTCTGGAACTTTAATTAATTTATAGTTGAATTTAAGTTCTGAATTGATGCCAAATGGCTATGTCTAATTGGAGTTAATTAGAATCTATTAGTATGTGTTTATGCTAATTAAAAAATATGGCAAATTAGCCATAATAGTATAAATTGGCTTAAAATTGGCCATCTGATTTCTAGCTAATTTGGACTATTTCAACCAGTATTGTTGTTACTTAAAAAAACAAATTACTATATATAATCATGTTAAATAACATTACAAGATCAAAAAACATAATAATTTAATAGGTAATTTTAAATATACAAGCATTTAAAGTAATAGAATGAGAAGTATTTAATAAATAGTATCAAGATTTATTCTCTTTATCAAATAATACAAATTCTATAATAAAGTTATATAAAAAAAAGATATAGTTACATATTTTTTTTAAAAAGTAGTATATTAACTGTTATCATTTAGTCATCTTTAAAATTTGAGGGTATTTTAAGTATTACAACACATTTTTCAATGAAAATCAGAGGGAATAATTCACAAACAAAATTCACTTACAAAAAAAATGTCATCATAATCAAGCATTTGCATACAGAATATCGATTCTTCTTAGTCGGCTTATTCAGCATAATAAAATAGTTCTTAATTTATCTTATTCTTTTCTTTTGAAATTAACAAAACTAGGTTTCGGAAACCATTGTTAAGTCCGGAGCACAAGTTTAACGAAAGGGACCAACCACGTATCGACAAAAATTTTGAGCGGGCGGACAACGGGACTCCTCGTGTAACATGTAGCTAGTATAAGAAAGTCCTTCGCTTCACTCCGCACTAATTAGCTTATTAATTGTATTAAAAAAGGATAACCTTATATTTGGATTTAAATGTTGAATATATATATTGATGAGAATTTTTTTATATAAAGCAATCAATTGCAGTCAATTAAAATACGGTGTAGTTTCCATTGTTTAAAGAGCAGAATTGAAAATATGCAGATGCATGCCATATTTTATTGTTTTTTGCCATTACACGTATAAAAAGTAAAATAAATTAAAATGACGTAAACAGGTTTTCTTGTAACATCAAAACTACAATGATTTCTAAAGTGCTTATATCCAGCTCCTTGAATACCGAGTATTATATGGCACCATGCGTCATTTTAGAAAGTTCCAATCCCAGTTCTTGTACAGTACATCGAGAAAACTATCGCCGAGAACTTGGAAATAAATATAAATTTCAAGTCGTAACGTGATCATCATACTTCATTCACGTAACCTATAATTTTGACACCTTATGCACGAATCAGGAATCTTTCTTTGAATTTAAGACATCCGTATCATACTGTCCAAATCTAAATATTGTCAAAAGTGATTTGATACTTTTTTTGTAATACTAGAACCAAGGCTCCACGACGAGAATGTCAATGACATTCCAAAATTAAGATCAATTCCATTTAAATCAACATTTGCCGTCGTTAGACCTGGAATTATACCGAAATCAAGCTAACAAACCAAATAACTTAATATCTCAAATATCTCAAAGATTTTCCCTAAGAGAAATAAAAATTAACAAATAAACGATTTTATAGTTAGTTATCACGATCAGAACAGAAGAAGGTTGAAAGTGTAAACAATATATTTATTAATTGTAGAGTTATAAATCTAGACTTATATCCAGAAACTTCTTTGGAAGAACTCTGTCGATTCAAGGTTAACTTACAGGTTTTATATAAAATACTAAACTATACCTTCTTATTAATAAATAATACAAGTAATGAAAAATAACATACTATATAAATAATGAAAAATTGATAAAATATAATTTTGATGACAATCGCCGTAGTTGTGTATCTCGGAATATAAACAAACGAAAAAAAAAATACTTCGCTTCGTCACAAAAAGTATAAAATTTAGCTAGAATTGCACTATTTGTTTTTTTTGAATCCAGTAGACGTCTTTAAAATTTTAAACATGATTTTTTAGCAAATGTATTAAAAAAAATTTATTTAAAAAATTAAATTTATTAAATGAATCTACCAAAGGATACCTTTTAACTACGCCTGCAAAAAAATGAAAAAAAAAAAATTATATAAAAATAGTTAAATTTATTAAAACTCTGAATTTCATTTGCTTTTAACGTTGACGTCATAATGTCATGTAAGAATCAGATTCTGATTTTTTTTCGTAATACGTTGCAAGGACCAATAAGAATACAATCTGATATTATACGTCATAAAAGTTTAAAAGCGAGTTACTTTTGAATCCATCTCAATAAAACTACTTTTCTCACCAAAATGTCTGTCATGTTTAATGCCGACACTTCGTCTTCTTCGTTACCATATATCATTAAATTGACCGCAGGAAAACGTAGTACAGGAATGGATACTGATTCAAGTATTGCCACAAACACAAATATGAACACAGAACCAAATATGGACATTTTCAATGAAGCCGACGAAAAGGAAAAGAAATGGTGGTCAGGAAAAGGTTCTCTAGGTTCTCTGGGTATTGATGAGAAAAGGTAAACATATTAGTAGTCACTTATTTTATTTATTTATTGACTACAAAATTATTTATCTCATTAGATTACCTCTAGTATTGGCGAGAGGAGTAAAATTTAATCAGTTTGCAAAAAGAGCTGAGAAGATTAAGGCCAGAAGGTTCTTGGACTATCGTAATGGTACTATAGCCATTATTGAATTACCAACTGGAGGACACGAAGTTACAGCCCGTGAATTTAGCTTTAAATTTATGACTGCAATCTGTAATGCAACAAATCAAAGAAGTGTTTATGATTGGGGATCGAAAAGTAAGTATTTCAAGTATTTATTGACACATTCAAATTTATGTTACAACTAATTCAATTTCATCTAGGTTTATTTACTAATCTCCCAACAGACGAATATCAAGAGCCAGACGCATGTTTTATACCTATACGTCTGTTGGATGCATTGAACCCAGTACTAAATCCTTGTGATCGAGATGTCCGTATTATCAATTTGTTTAGAAATGAAAAATATGGGTTTTCATTGTGAATTTGTAATTTTTAGGGAAGCCCATGGCCAACAATCATCCTTGAGGTTGCTTCCTCAGAAACTCTCCAACATGTAAAGGATAAGATCAATAACTATTGGCTAGTACAAGATCGTTGTGAAGATGTAATCGTTATCAAAATAGGTAATTGGGAAGAAAAGCGTCGTAACCAAACGACCCAACGCCCTTTGCGTCGTTTGCGGGTTAGTATAATGATAATTTTTATTATTTTCTTTGCGTTTCATTTGTTTAATCTGTTCTTTTATATTTTTGGCAGTGTCTAAAATTCTGTCGGACTGCAACTCTTCAGCAAAATCCAAACGCCACAACATTCGAAGCAATTGAAGAGGTAGGATTAGTGTGTTTACAATTGTTCTTTTTTTGCTTATTTGGCTCAACGTTTCTTGTCACTTCCAGATTGAGTTTGGGTCCACGTATGCTAATGGCAGGGAAAGTAATTTTTGCACTGGACCTCACATGAAATGGCTTACAATTAATTGTAATTGTATTTATGCTGGTTGTCCTCAACCTCCTCCTCTTCCTTCATTTTACACATTTATCTCTTCGCGACCTTTCAGTTCCCCTCGATTTCCCTACCCTCTACAAGCACCGGGAGTTGCAATGGACGTATATGATCTTCAACAAGCGATTTTTTCAGCTATGGGTCATAATTGAAGACGCTAAACCATTACATCTAAATCAATTCAGATGATTACGAATTTTATTATAATTAGCTATCCTTTATTTACTTAAATTCTTAACGTATTACAAATTTTGCTAAATATTTGCATATTTTTAATTCCAATTAATAAAATTATATTTGCTATCATTATTAAAGAAGTATTCATATATTATTATGATTCGTTTCGTTTATTTCCATCTTCCACATAATATTTCAAAATTTTCGGAAAATAATTACCAGTAAGTGGTGGGGTAAAGATTTATTAGCATCATCATTAACTAACAAACGTCCGTAAATATTTAAACTATACGCATTAATTAAAAATGAATTAATCAAAAAACGCTCTTTCCTAAATCATTTCCTGAACTCGAAAATTTTGTTTGATCAAAGGAGCGATTTTAGAATTTAATTTCTTAAAATATCAATTTTCGTCGCTTTTTAAATATTTCGTATCGGTATCGTTTTAAGTTTATTAAATATAAAAAATGAACTATGGTTATTCTTTTTTGATAATATTCTGTAATACAAAATTTTAGATGAAGATCAGATGATAAAATTCCGGCAAAAACCGGAATTTTTAAAAAATCGCCGGTAAAAAGTTATATTTTTGTCCGGCAAAATTTTAATATATTTTCACTACAAAGACATTAATAATAATATTACAAATAATATCTATTAAAGTTCATTTATCCAATTTTCGAA